GGACGCGAGAGAGAGATCAGATCAGCTGCTGAGTCTGACGGAGACACGCAGCTCTGCATAATCACCTGATGCTCCACCCTCTGTTTAGAAAAGAGAGAGAGAGATCAGATCAGCTGCTGAGTCTGACGGAGACACGCAGCTCTGCATAATCACCTGAAGTCCCGCCCTCTGTTTAGCGAGCTGACCTGACAGCGCAAAATGCGTACATGAAGCGCTACGTCATGAACGCAAGAAATCATACCCTCGTGGGGGCGCGCTCATGTGATTTGCTTAGACTGGAGGAGACATCTGATTGGCTATAGATAGAAAAAATTACAAGTACTAATCGGCTGACCATCAGGGGAGTCTCAAAAAACCCACACACGAATGCACAGCGATCCATGCACAGAAAGCGGTTTGTGTTTGCAGGTTCAGGGGATTTAAACGGAAAACAAATATGTGAGGATCAAAAATACATATGTAAAACTTTTTTCTGTATTTGGATTTTATTTACATGTATATGAAATGGAAGACATTTGTGTGTGCATTGAAAAACACAAGTGTGAATCCTTTTGCGGATCATGAAATACAAGTGTGAATCCTTCTGAGTGCATGTGTGTATTATGAGACTGTTCTGAGCCCATATTACTGCATCAGTTGTGTGAGAGCTTGTAAACAAACTTTTTCATATAGTTTTGATGTTGTAATTTACTTATCCAATCAGGACTTTTTGGATTCTCAGTTGACTTTGAAAGTATGTGAGAAAAACAAAATGTTCTTCAAGAGTTCTACACAGGGTGAGCAGTTAATGTACAAATGGTCTTTTTGTGGTTGAAGTATTTCTTAAACAGACAGTATGTGTTCTGAACTAATTAGCTTTCAGTTGAAACCCAAAGATAGTGTACTGGTGTCTGAAAGTACTGAACTAGGGACAAACAAATTCTGTTCCTTTCAGGGGATTTATGAGGTGAACACTGTGAATTATGTTCAGGTCCTGTCTGGAGGAGTAGCCAGCAATGAGTACATCCGCAAGACTCTGAGCATCATCACTGAGACCACAGGACTACATCTGCTCTGCCCCCCTGCCAAATTCTGCACTGACAACGGAGTGATGATTGCATGGTGGGTGTACTGAGGTTCAGTAAAGCTTAAAAATGTATCCGATTGGATGATTTGCCCCACTATACAGTTCCTTTTTGTGTTTTTATACCAGGAATGGTGTTGAGCGCCTGAGAGAAGGGAAAGGGATACTACCTCCAACTGTGGATGTCTGCTATGAGCCAAAGTAAGTATTTACAATGTCAGTAGATAGCTCCTATTATACCATCAGCTCTAATGTGTGTTGTGTTGCAGGGCGCTGCTGGGTGTGGACATGAGCGCCGAGGTGAGGGCAGCGGCCATCAGGCTGCCGTCAGTCCGGATCAAGATCCAAAACTGAGGCTGCTGCTTTTCTTCGGTCACTCCTATAGCCCAGATCAGAGTATATACCCAGGAGTGCACATAACTTTTTTGCCCTGGTTCTCAATGGAGCACCTGGAGATGTTGCTTGGTACTCATCCTTAAACTGAAATAAACCGTAACTTTTGAGGGGTTCTTGACTTTATTTGCCGGACACACAGCACTGAACACACATGCAGAGGTGAACACAGAACACACATGCAGAGGTGAACACAAGACAACATTAGCACGACCAGTAATCCTACAAGCTGTCATCACTACCCTCCTGACTGTTCTCCCCACTTTTCTCCTCACTGTCTTCCTCTCTGTCAGACATGGTAGCTGATGATGTAGGCCAACTACTTTTCTCTGGTTGAGTCTGCGATTAGCTGCTTGCATCCACAAGTCAACAGCTGGTTTTGGGTCGAAAGTCTCTGTTGTCATCTTAGAGAAGTGGATGTAATCAAATAAGTCTATGTGAACATAACCAATAACCTACCATAGCCAATAACAAATGAACTTAACTTATTTTATTTGTGTTGTTCATTCATATCTTATTTTACCTTAACATTTCTTTATTTATGCATTTTTTTTTTTCATCTCTCCAGTTTTAACGGATATTTTTGGTTACTGTCCTATAGTATACATTGTAATGATTTCAAACCTGTAGTGTTTATCCCAATAGGTTAATTATAAAGGAGTGCCTTGGAAATATGTGTATACATAAATTGTGACCAAACCGTTTGAACTTAGACTAAAGTTAACTATCTAAACACTCAGAGTCCTTTACCTCACTGAGCTGTAGTTATCAGCCTCTCAGTCTGACTGGAGAGGACTCTCCCTCCACATTATTGTAGACACATCTTCTTCTTATATCCGTTAGCGCAGCTAGCACCAGATTCTAATAACAACAGCGCCGGTACCGGTGCACCCTCCCTCTCTCCCTCGCTCCCTCGCAGGCCCATTCCCAAACCGCCCCCTACACCCTACCCCTCCGTTTGCGCGTTCACGCGGAGGGTCCGCCATATTTAGGGCTGTTCCAAACCAACGAGCGTGGAGCGGTGTGGAGGGGGAGTGGGCTATCAAGCCCTCAAACAGCGAGTCTGCAGCGGTGCTGACTTGAGACCGGTCTCTACCTGA